CTTTGTGGAACCGAACTTTTTAATAATGTGCAGCTACTGTATCTTCTGGTGAAATATTTCTTCACGGATTGGCAGAACTGTAATTAGCACTCTTGCTGTCATAGACACACATGAATGACTTGCCCAATGACACAGGCTCCACCCCCTACTGTCATATTATTATGGTATTATAGTAGTAAAACAAAAATGCAACATACTAGAAAGACTTTGTTTTTTTGTTAAAATATTATTATACACAAATTATGTTTTATTCTATAGCTTAAACAAAGAAAGAGGAGAATCAATATTTATTTTGCTTTGCTTACAAGTTTGTCACTGGTCCTAGATTTCCTGGCACAGTCTCAGAATTCTGGTAACCAAGTAAATAGCAACAAACTTACACAATGATGCCTCATTATTTTATCACTTAGAGCAAGGAATTGCACTGTTTTTATGGATTTTTTTATTGTATAAAGTACATATTTTTCATCCTTTTCAGATGGTAAAAAAAGACACATTTTTGTACAAAATACATAGGTAAAGGACACGCCCCTGGTCACACCCCAATTATGTTAACATTGAAGAATTTAAACAAGAATCCCTTTGTGGGTCTATTTATAAAAAAAGCACATAGCTTATTTGTCCAGTGAAACCAAAGGGTACATTTGATCTGTGTGAGTTAACCAGCTGTTGTGATAATGGGGAATAAAGCAAAAGTTCTTCTTAGTGTCATTTCTCTTCTGGCCAGATGTTCTTCAATAGGTTTATTTATAAAGAACAGCTCTATCTAATAGCACAATGCAGTATATATCCAATTTACTTTATTCGTTATGAGTAAACCTACTGAAGAGCTTTTCACCGGAGGAGAAATTACTCTAAGAACATTAATTTTTCCTCCATTTTCAAAACAGCTGGTTACTTGCACAGATCAAATACAGGCCAAGTACAGTACATGCAGTAACCCTGAATAAATAATCAATGCTCTTCTTTTTAATAAATAGACCCTTTAAAGTGTATGTAAATCTAACATTTTTTATAGAATGTGGAATGGTTAGGACTAGGGATGCACCGATACTTTTTGAGTACCAGTGCCGATAATTGGCATTTTCACGAGAACTACCAGGGTTGCAGCGGTTGCAGCTGGGACCTGGCTCTGGTGCTCTACCACTGTCCTGAAATCATTAGTTGATATTGTTTTAGAAAAACTGTCACATGACAATAAACAAAAATGTATCAATACTCGTACTTGTAAGTGCTTGGGCAAGTACCAGTACTTGTACTCGCAAAACTGGTATCGGTGCATCACTATATTTATATTTATAAAAGCAAAATCATAAATTAAAACAGAGATGTACAAATCCCAGGAGCTCCATGTGCTCCTTACAAATGACAGCTGCCTCCTAACTTTTGAATTTTTCTCTAGACTAGTCTTGGAGCTTGAAAAGTATCGATACATGTACTTGTACTTGTACCGAGTACTGTACTTGGTATCGGTGCATCCCTAGTTAGGACCTCTGTCAGGTTTCTATTGCTTCCCAAAGCCTAGTTTGGGTTGAGATTTACCCTCACTATTGGTCCCGGTGACCATTGTTTTCAGTTATGTTTGCCTTCAGTTATCCCATTTTCACAGCTGGTTACTTGCACACATCAAATTTACATGTGGTTTCCCTGGACAAATCAGCGATGCATTTCTTTTATAAATAGACCCCTTAAAGTGTATGTAAAGCCATTTTTTATAGAATGTAGAATGGTTAGAAACACTGTCAGGTTTCTATTGCTGCTTGTGGCCTAGCTGGGTGGAGGTTTATCTTCACTATTGGTCCTAGTGACCATTGTCTTCAGTTCAAAAAGTGATAATAAATCCAAAATGTTTGAGTTGTCAGAGGAACTAGAGGTGAGGGGAAATGAATAATAATTAAGTAATAACAAGATTGTTATATATAGTAAAATGGGGATGAAACGATTAAGCTTTTATATATATATATACATAATATTTATTAGGACATTGAAAAGTATGTATTCGGTTATGTAGACATGGACACTCATTTTTCTACCAATATAACTGCAGTATTATATTCTTATAGTTGGCTACTGTACCAGTGTCACAGCTGTATACCCATGAGTATACTGTCCTGTCTGGTGTTTTGAACAGGGGGATGTTTACTGAGTCATATGACTTTACAGTTTTCTAAGGGTCCCTAATTTATGTACTACAGACTCTAACAAACTCTGACAGCTATATTGGAGATTGTTTTTATGTTTGCAATTTATCAGGTATGTGCCCTGAGTTAGCCCTAACTAAGGGGTTGTTTTCAAAAACAAGATTGAATGAGAATTTTAGTGCAGAATACATCAATCTAAAACAACTACATAAAAAAAGCCCCACTATAGTTCGGAAAAAAAAAGGTCATCACTTTCTTTGAATATTTTTTTTTAATCACTCCCTGCCACCTCTGTACATATAGGGAAATCTAAGTTTGAGTTTGGTAGGTGGGTTTTCTACCATATATAGGTCTTCTTAAACGAGAAACAACTCAGCTGCCATGATGCAATGCAAGCTGGGCTGTCAATCAGTGGGAACACAACATGAGCACTTAGTGCTCATGTTGTGTAGTTTAGGTAGGTGTAGGTTAGGTGTAGTGTAGGTTATGTGTAGTGTAGGTTAGGTGCAGCAAGCTGCAAATTAGCTACTGTCCTTTTATGAAAATGGATTGATCTAGTATTGGGCTAAACCTAGTGATTTTAACAGCTCTTTTTGTAACAATACCCAGCTTTATTTTTAATTCAGAATGCTTTAAATAGAGATTTGGTGTTCCTCTTTATAATGAGTCACACCAAACAGAAGAAAAGCTGGGTGTTCTTGATAACTAGGGACACAACCAATTATACTGTATTATGCTGGTTTATTATCTTCATTGTATACTGAGATTATTCCTGGCTGCCATTGATCTTGTTGAAATAGCTTAGACACCTCTGAGATAGCACCATGCTCAGCCCCTGCCTCAATAGCATAAAAAGATCAACCAGCAGGGGTGCATGGGATGGAATACTTATCTATGACCCACCAACAGCAGAGCTCAATTACTGAAAAATACATTATTTCTAGTCACATATAAATTCTTATTTCATGAAATATGGTTTCCATCATCGCCGTTAGTAGCTTTTATCTATGTCTACAGTATATAATCAATTAAGTGTAAAGCAGATGTATTAGAACTGGTAAATAAAATAAATTGGCCAAAATGAGAGATGGCCAGTCAGATTTCTTACAAAAGCTTATCTCTAGTGAAAACTTTGTTTTAGTTTTGAATAGATTTGGGAAAGGCTAAAACCCATACCAGGTTTATTTTGCTATCTTTGTTCTATTGGTGGCATTTTTCTTTACTTCCTGTTCCAGAGATCAAAAGGCAAGTGGGAGGAGATTCTTCTGAAGTGAGGGAGCAATTCCCTGTTAGACTGTTGTCACTGTAACAAGTGCCCCCCATTGACCACCTTCCAATGTCATGTGTAATTTTTTGGATTTCCATCACTTTTTGTGCCAGCTGACATGGTCACCAGGAAAAATAGAGACATCAAATCTCTCCAGAAGAGGCATTGCCAGCAGCAAAAATATGACAGACACCATCTACACTCTGTATGAAACAAACAAAAAAAGGGTGGATACACCCTTTAATTTTTCCATACTAGGGGTTCACAGGGTAAGGCTGGGAATTTATTAGTATGTGGTAATTGCCCACCTCCTCCATACCAGTCCTGCACTTTCTGAAAAATAATAAATCATGTCACCTAGGATAAATTGTGTAACTGCTGCAGTAATAGCTATTTGGACTGCTATGGGGCCCAGTCAGATATAAATACACTCCTGCTTCTCTATTTATGGTCCACTCTCCAATGCCAAATGATGTTCCAAGTTCTAAGTAAAAGGACCTTTTCCATCTCAGTCCATAAAAAAAGTTTAAACATTGTGTCAATCAATTATTATACTTGTTCATGGTCTCTGATATCAGTTTTAGCCTGGCGCTGTTCTGTTTTCTGTCCCTGAGTTGCTCTCAGTAATGCTATTGGAGGCTGTGTGTCGTTGAACTGCCTAACCAGAAGCTAATGAGTAACCTACAAGTTTAGTTGGGTCTATTATAAAGGATATCAAAAGACTCCTCCCAACACCTCTGAAATATTCTCAAAATTTCAAATCTTCCATCTCGGTGACAACAGTAGCTTCAAAGAGTGTTCTTTTTCTGTAAGCTCTTCTGCCAAGGCAGCAATGATGCCAGCCAATAACGCTAAAGGGAGTGCATTCTGACACTGACTATCAAAGTAAAAGGAAAATTTATTGGAGGAAATTATTAAAGAAGAACTTTGGCCCAACCTTTTTTTGGCATAGTTCTCTTTACGGTCATAGGAGGTCATATACTAATGTCCTCCTGTATCCCGAAACTCAGCATATACAACGGCTATTGCTCGATATATGTTGATAGCACAGAGCCATTCTGCAGCCGGGAAGGATCCCGACAATATTGTCAGGATCCAGCCTGCTACCTGATTGACAGCTGGCTCTGCCTCTCATATTTGCCATATGCCAGCTATAACTGTTTGGTCAATAACCAGGATGCATCAACACAAATGAGTGCATGTTTGTTGCTTTTGCAGATTAGGTTTAGATTATATTCTAGTACATGTCTCACCCCCTCATTTCCTAAAAGGGAGTAAAGTTGCAGCAAAAAGACCCACATTATAAAGTCAATTTTTATTCTGGAGGAGATAAATGTAAAATCTCGAAAAGCTTTAGGTGGTAATGTTAACACAAGCTTTCAAAACCCTAAAACTACAAACCATTCTGTGTAATGTTAAACTGTCCATTACCTTGCGCTTCCCAGCTCTGGAACACAAAGCCAGACCATTACCAAAAAATATGCTTTTATGTGTCTTCAAACCCAACAAAAGCACAGCAACACAAAACTCAAAGAGAAAAAGAAAAATGGAGGCGAGAAGTAATTGGAGGGTCACATGACACAAACACTTACAGTGGCCTGATGCTTCTCAGCCTTTTCATTCGCCTCATTAAGTTGCTTTGTGAATGCTTCCTGCAGGGATTTCATTTCTTCTCTGTTTTATAAAAAAAACAACATAGTTTTATATTATAATATTATATAACAAGCTTATTCAATAACACAATCCAAAAAGAAAAAATTTGCAAAGCGTGGTTACTCATAACTACCAATGAAATTTCACCATTCATCAGCCATATGGAACAATGGAAGTTTGCTCTGGATTGGCTGTTATAGCTTGGATTATAATCAAGTTTATTTTTGTAGTTTAAAGGTGTTGTGAAGTATGAAAACATCTCAGGCATAAAAGACATACGCAAAAAATAATTTAAAAAAACAGCATGATCATGAGGCTGGCAGCATTGTGTAGGTTAGCCGGCAGTGTGCCTCACAGAAGCTGAGGTGATGTATGGCCATAACCCAACATATAGTCATGGATGCAAAGAGAACCAGAAACCTCTGTGCATCCAGTGGAAGCGCCATAGATAAAAAAAAATGTATCCAAGCAACAAATAATGTTGCCAATTGCTGCTGACAGCTGAAGATAAAAATCAGTAGTGTGATGGTAACTAATTATTATTGTTAGTATTATTATTATTATTATTATTATACAGGATTTATATAGCGCCAACAGTTTGCACAGTGCTTTACAATATAAGGAAAACATAACAGTTACAATACAAATCAATACAAGATGCTAAGGAGAGCCCTGCCCCTGAGGGATTACAATCTAATAATCATTCCGATACCTGTCAAATACCTGTTAAAAATATATTTAAAAAATATAACAAATACATCAGAAAAATTAGCAAGATTCTAGCAGAGGCTATATCTAAAGTGATCATCCAGTAGATAAAGGGGGACAAGTTGTTGTACTTTTACTACCACCACAAATTGATACTTCATTTTGAAGATTCCAAGACATACCCCTCTCTACCAAAGACCCTACACAGGAATAAAAACAGTAAGGCTGGGTTCACACCTCGTGCTCATTTTGTGACCGAAATGGAGGCGCATCCCTGCTTTCTCTCCTCCCCGCTGGGCACTGCTCTGTGTCCCAGTGGGGAGGAGAGAAACTGTCACGGAGGCAGAGCGGTGCAGGGGAGCGCTGTGAGTGGTCAGCATCTCTCCTGCCCGAACCGCTCAGCCTCTTGTGACAGATCAGGAGAGATCAGGAGATCAGGGGGCAGAGGCAGCTCTCAATGCTGTCACAGGAGGCTGAGCTCCCCTCTCGCAAGCTCAGCCTCCTATGACAGCAAATCAGGATAGAGAGTGGTACAAGCACTCAGCGATCAGTGACCGTTGAGTGTTTGTAAATAATTGAGGACAGAGTATGTTTACTGTGTCCCCAATTATGAATGGATGGGTGTGATCTACATCACTCCTGTTCATTCACAATTGTGAACATGGTACACATACTATCTCCGCAAGTTATGAATGAACAGGAGCACTCAATATAAAGGATTCCTCTATATTTATAACAGGGGCTGCAGAAAAATAGATTGAGGATTGTGCTCTCAATCTCTTTTTCTATTTTTAAAGGGAATTATCAGGGGTCTGCTTAGACCCCCTAATATTTCCCCCGATGGCCCCCAACAATAAAGTAAAAAAATTAAAATATTTAATAAAAATAAATATATACAAATAAAATATAAAAAAATAAAAGTTTATAAAAAAATCTTTAAAAACATTTGGAAAAGTTAGAAAAAAAAATCAGTTTTGACCTGAATTTTGGTTTTGAAATTTTAATTTTGGTGCACCTCCACTATATAGTATTTAACGTCGTGTGAGTAAATACAAAAGTAGAAATAATGCAGATTTGTTGCCTGAAAAAGTAAGTGCACCCCTACTTTTACCACCACTTCAAAACCATGAAATTAAAATTAGACATTTCAGATTAGTTGCCGCTGATTGGAGCCTCCTTAGGTAATATGCAGGTGGAATCTGCCTAGTTTAAACCTCAGACATCTAGGGCCTGGTTATTTGCTTTTGGCGTGTTATAATGCCTAGATTATGGGCTTAAGGGATTAAGGGCTCTCTAAGGACCTCAGAAGGTAGGTTGTGAATGCCTATGAGTCTGGCATGGGACTTAACAAGATTGCCAAATTATTTAAAAATGATTATTCAAATGATTATTCAAATGATTATTCAAATAATTTGCTAATGGTGTAGATTTAAAGTGACTGTCCAGAACTGACCCAGGAGCTGATCATTTGGTGGTAACAAATCTCTAAGTACACCAAAACTTAATCATAGGATTTACAGATAACTCTTGCAACAGTTGTTGTCAAAAGTGCATATAGCTACAATAAGAAAGACATTGCACCAATTTAACTGCCATGGGAGGTGTGCCAGCAAAAACTTTTTGCTGTCCAACAAGAACATGACAAAGCCTATAGTTTGCTACTGAACATATAGGCAAAGACCAGGCCTTCTGGAAAAATATGCTGTGGAATGATGAATGAAAGAAAGAGTTGTTTGGCCATGGTAACAGTAGACATGTTCGGCGTAAACCTAAGGCAGCATTTTAGCAGAACCTCATAGCATGCACCATAAAGCATGGGGGGTGTTATGGTTAGGGGTTGCTTTGCTACTTCAGGGCCCGAGCAGCTTGCAGTCATTGATTCAACGATGAATTTGAATCATATCAAAATGTGCCTGATGAGAATGTACACCATCTATCGAAAAGTTGAAGTTGAACCAAAAAGGGATCTTTCTGCACTATAATGATCTAAAGCATACTACCATGTTTCTCCGAAAATAAGACACTGTCTTATATATTTCTTGCCCCACAAAAACACACTAGGTCTTATTTTCAGGGGATGTCTTATTTTTTTGTGCAACAATTGTGCAACAAAATGTTCAACACTCTAAAGTTATTCATGTACAACAATCCAAAGTTATCTGGTATCACTCCGCCTGTCACAGTACCGGACAGCGGTACCACCGGTGCAGCAGTGCGGACATCAGACAGGGGACAACGCGTTAAAGTACGGTACCATTTACCGGTACACATTACAGTACAGTACCATTACATTAAACAGTGCCTTTGGGGGGACAGCAGTTGGTGAAGTATGGTACTGGAGTGCTCCCTGTCACTGCGCGGGCCGGAGGGAGTTCCCTGTCATCCCCTGATACAGTATGTCCCTGCAGGCTGACACCATCTCTCCTGCTCTTCAAGTTCCCCCTCACATGCTACCACCAAACTAGGTCTTATTTTCGGGGTAGGTCTTATATTACAGGAATCTTGAGAAATAGTGCTAGGTCTTACTTTTGGGGTAGGTCTTATTTTCGGGAAACAGGGTATCAAATCCACCAAGAAGTGGCTTAAAAGAAGGAAATTGAGGGTTATGGACTGGCCTGATAAAACTTCTTAAGTAAAAACAATAAAAATGTTGGGGGGGGGGATTTAAAAAGGGCAGTACATGAAAGGAAACCAATGTGCATCTTGAAATTGAAGGAATTTTGCTTGCAAAAGGTGTCAATGTCATGGACTGGTGGATGGTTATGCAAAACTCCTACAAGAAGTAATTAATGGACAATATCAGCGTACAATGCCATGGGTGTACCTACCTTTTCCACAGTACACCATTACATCTATTGATATTTTTGTTGAATAACTGACTGAAAGGGCAATTTATTCAGGGGGTATTTATTCACAAATATCATCTTTATCTATAGGAATATATAATTAAGGGATAATATTGGCAGGCGTATGTTGCAAATAGCGTCTAGAGGAGCTGGAGGTTTCACACCCCAGGTTATGAATACAAAGGAACAGATTGTTTCCACAGTGGTCTGTGCAAGGACCCAGTGGGGAGAAAAAAGGGGGCTTTTTAGAAACCAGTCCAGACCTCGTATATAAAAGTCTTAGAAAAACATTTATTCACTAAATTGTTGTATACATAATTTAGAACCAAAAAATAAAGTACAAAATCATGTCATCAATAAAAATATATATCATTAATAAAAATACATATTGAATATGCAGGTTCAC